GGGAGCAGGAGGGAAGAGGAGGAAGTGTGTTTCTTTATTTGTTTTTGTACTACCAGTATATGGGTTGCCAATGTGTCAACTGATTAACTATCAAAGCTGTGGCCAACATAATTCAGGGAAAGGGTGAAAGCATGTATTTAGCTGAAATCTTCTAAAGAATTACTTCACTCCTACTCTTGACATAAGTGACAAATACAGTGGCTGTCAGGATTGATCAAACAAAGATCTTAGAAAGAATTGCTTTTTCATGTGAACATTACCGTACAAGAAAAATCCCTGATCACAGTTAGATCATCAGCTCAAGCTTAGAAACTTTACGGGGAACAAAGTTGATCTGATTAGCCTTTGGAAGATGATATAACTCAGTAGTTCTCTTAACTGTAAAAAAAAAAAATTTGACCAAACTGTGTCTTTTGGAGCCACCACATATATACTGGGTATATAAGAGTAAATGAATGATCAAAAAACCTTTTTCAATTCCAAGGACACTCAAAGGATAAACATGGTCGGACTATGTTCTGAAAAATTGCTTGTTTCATTTTTCAAACTCTCTTGTGTGTGAGCTGATATGAATCTGTGAATATGGTATATTTTTATATATGTTGAAATTCCCTTTGTTGAGGTTCAAGTCCAATTTTATCAGTTTTTTTTGGGCCAAAAAATTGTTATTAAAGCCATTGGATTAAAATTCTGCTCATTAACTCTTGTGGTTGAAAGTTCTTGATGTGAGATAGTTATAGGATGACATCTGTTACCTCTTGAGGGGCTAGTGATAATTTATTTTAACATTCTTTAGTCCTAAAATTTGGTATGCAACAGAGCATGGAAAGGTATGGCTGAAATAACCTCAGTATGTGGTATTATCAGTGAAAAGAAATTACTGCGAGATTCAGTGATGTAAGCAGGGTATTCTTCCAGAACCTTGCTCATGGCTCTTTTCTCTTCAGTTTGTGATAAAGTTGCTTCATCATGATGACATTTTGAGTCACCCATATTGTACTGAGAAAACACAGAATAAAAATTTGAAATAATATTTTCCAGAAGGAGATAAACATTAATGATACAGGCAACGATGCAACAAAAAGTATCAAAGATGTCACAGGATGGAGAAGGGTCACTCACATTACAATTAAGATTGTTTTTAAAAATTTAGGCAAAATTTTCCAAGTTTACAAACAGTTGATTAACTTCTTCTATGGTTTGTCAAAATGTGAAACACTCTCTTTTTGAAGTGTTCATTCATTTATCATAAATAGATTGGTGTCTTCAAAATAGAACTATCATTTGTCATTGAGACAGTGCTTCAGACAAAAATATCTCTTGAATCTATTCTTAGAGTTGATACTTACACAAATGTTGAAAAAACAAATCAAGTAAATGAGTGTGTGGGTATGTGTCTGTACTTGTAACTGAAGTTGATGGAATTACACTCTCTCCACTTTTCCTTGTCTTTTTTTGATGAGGCTCCCAATCATATATATTTTCAGTGTAAAACTGAATTCTTTGAATTTTATTCATTTTTAAAGTTGTGGCATTCATTGTAATTGTAAAATGACTCTTCCTGTTCTTTTTTTGGCCTATTAACTATTTGGATTTGATCCATTTTTTGAGTAATCGTTCTTAATGAGCCTGTGAAATAACTTGCGTTCAGGGTGATCTATTGTTGGCTTTTGAGTGAAAACGCGTGTGAATTGGTCACGGAGAAACAGCCGTGTAAGAATTGGGGCGAGTCTGCGCAGACTTGTCAGTGATCTTCTTTAGACCAGTTGGAAAATGATCTTTTAGCGTGCGTTTTCGTGATTGATCAATATTGTCTTGTCGCTAATAACTACGAATGTTGAAGTTTTAATGATTGCAGACCTATATAGCAACTCAGACGTTTGAAATGAAGTGTAACAGAGCGTGGAAGGGACCAATATTAGTGCGAGATGGATATTAGTGCTTCTCTTTTCGTGGTTACGAAATGTTCAATCAATCAAAATACTTAGCATTAATATGTTTTTCTTTCAATTCACTTTACTTATCGTGTTCAACTCTCGCGTACCATCTGTGCTTTTTCTTAAAGCACTCGGCCACGAAAAAATAACTTAAAAGAACTTTCCAAATGCCTTAAAGCGATCGTTTATCCAAATTGATAAAAGGGTTATGACTGAATTTTTGTGTGTGTGTGTGTGTGCAATATTTCATGCGATTCGCTTTCCGTGCAGCGATCGGCAAAAGAAAAATCCAATTAGCAGCTCTTTGCAAAGTCAATACTTGAGATGAAGCTAGTTCACACAAGTTAGTTTGTTTAGAATCACTTAAGGCCCCTTAAGTGCCTTTCTCGCGTTAGTGTTACATTATACATAGTATATACTTCTCCCATCTGAGAAGTGGCTGTTAATTTCAAGTGGGTGTTGAAATGTTTCCATTTGGTTTTGATAATTTTGCGGTTGTGCAAGAGTTGTTATCATCTTGTAACGGTCTCCAAGGTAATGCACGCAATTTCTTGCACAGACCGCACGAGATCGTGCATTTTCCCAGGCTTGGAGTCGTTCACGTTTTTTCTGTTACTTCGAGAGAGGACGATAACCCCACGGCGTTGTTGCCGAGGGTCACTTGTCAAAGTGGTCTGAGAATATAATTCACTTTAATCTTCTGGTCAGAAAATTCCCCTTTTCACACAGGAATACCACAACCGACTCTTTCAGAAAACTGTTTATTATTAAAAAATGCCTCGAGGCTGTTATTAGAAAGAAATTATGTCCCTTGAAATGCACGCAATATTTTTCTGGAAAGACAGTCTGATATTCCCTTTAAAGGTCATATTGAAAGCATAATGTAAATTGATTTTTTAGATAGATCCTCCTTGGAATTGATGCTTTGTGTGGGCACAATATTTTTCTGGAAAGGTGGCCAAACATTTCCTTTAAAGGACATAGTCGGGGTATATGGTGAAATATATGATTAACTACATTTGAATTTTTTAGATAGACTCGCTTTGAAATTGATGCATTATGTTATCGGATAATAACTTATCGCTGAAAAATATTATGCCAGGCATAGCGTTTTGAATACTTGATTTTGGAAGGGAGTCTAAGTAGTTAGGCAGTTTCATTCCTTTATTTTTCGATTATATCTCCGATTTTTTTTTTTTTGGTTTGCGATGTCTGCATTTCGTAGTTCCTTTTTTTTTTGGTATAAGCAGGTTCTGATTCGTTCTACGTGGTTTTGCTAATGAGCTAAAAGTGGAAGTAGAATTTTATGCAAATATATCCCACTCATGAGGAACTTTCTCTTATTTCAAAACACTCAACGGGAAAAAAGGCTAATTACGTGCTTTTTTTTTCTTTCTTCTTTTGAAAAAGAAAATAATTTGGTGTGAATTTGGGATGATTTAAGGATGGGAAATCAATTGGCATGCTTATTACTAACGGCAGCTGTTATACTACGAAAGTCTGGTAGTGTCGGGGTGCCTTTATACGCATGCGCCCGTCATTTATGGAATAAACTAATCAGACTCGAGAAATTAAAGGTACATAAAGCAAAACTGATAATATTCTGAATAGGTAATTTTTCCAAGCGAATGAGGGAGGAAGGAGTGTAACAGCTGCATAGACAGCTTATGAGTCCGATAACAGCTATCTACATATCGAAAAAAAAAACAATGGGGGTTAGTGGCACTTTAAGAAATACGCTTGGTCTTGACGGAACTGAAATCTGGTCCTGGGCATGAGTTTTATATTATTTTTTAACCATTTAGCCCTTAGGAGTGACAAGCATCTCATTTCTCCTTAAAATATCTCCCCCAAAATCACAGGTAAAGGTTACGAGAATAAAGGCCGGGAATGATTACCAACTAGAGAAGTTTTTGATTGTGAAACAAATTCTCCTTTTCAGAACATTAGGAAATATCTAAAGGACAAATTTCTTCCTTTCGTATTTTCATTCCGATCTCGTTTGTTTGAAGGGTGGATAACGCTATCCATAAGATAAATCTCTATTTGTGGGACTGCGCCATACGTCACGTTTGTTAACAACTATGCGACTTATTGGCTAGAGAGCGGTTTATCCGCTGGATAGCGAAACCCGCCCTTTGAGTAACTGTACCCTGTTGGTCCCAGTCGTTGCTGGTAAACAGTTATCGAGTTGCGTGGGACGGACTGTGTGTGGCAAAACTGCTGTCATTTGTAATAATACTATGAATAATGACCGACCCGGACGATTGGAACAATTTATTTGAAAACGCTAGCCAAACGATCAATATTGACCTGGACGATGAGGAGAACTATATGAAAACAATAGTAACTCGCACGATCGGTACTATTTTATGAAAACACTACACAGACGATCCATAGCGACAACCACGATTAGGACTATTCGGTGGTTTTCAGTTCTGGATAACAGCAACTATAACAATCTTTAATCTGTAATCTTTACTCTTTAGTGTTGATAAGGATAAGAAAAAAAAAGATTTACAGTTTACTTTAATTAAGCCTGGCACATCACAAATGATGTAGCAAGATATATCTTTCTTTTAAGCGGCTACAACACTTAAAAGGTTGGCCAATAAGTGACATTTCGAGCGTTAGCCCTTCGTCAGAGCGAATGACGAAGGGCTAACGCTTGAAACGTCAGTTTTGAAACTCTTTACGGTGACCAATTTCACATAATCAACTTAGGCAACAAAACCAAAATTACCCTGTTATACTCCCCGACCATCGTAACACCACCGTGAGTTTCTTTAGAATCTT